CAACCCCTGTGCCCCATAGACACCCCATAGATGTCTTCTGTGCCCCATAGACAACCCCTGTGCCCCATAGACACCCCATAGATGTCTTCTGTGCCCCATAGACCACCCCTGTGCCCCATAGACACCCGTTGTGCCCCATAGACACCCGTTGTGCCCCATAGACACCTGTTGTGCCCCATAGACACCAGTTGTGCCCCATAGACACCTGCTGTGCCCCATAGACACCTGTTGTGCCCCATAGACAACCCCTGTGCCCCATAGACACCCCATAGATGTCTTCTGTGCCCCATAGACACCCCATAGACCACCCCTGTGCCCTATAGACAACCCCTGTGCCCCATAGACACCCCATAGATGCCTCCTGTGCCCCACAGCCTCCTCTATAGGCACCTGCCGTGTCTATAACCCCCCCCCCCCCCAATGCACCAATCCGCATTTTTTGCTATTTTGAGCATTTTTCCCCCCAGGTTTTGCCAACCCCCCCCCCCCCCCCCCCCCCCGCCCCCCCCCCCTTCCCCTCCTCCCCCTCCCCCCGCGCTGGAATTTCGGTGTCTGGAACCGCCCCTCCCCCACCTGAAATCACCGCACAGCCAAAAATGTGGGGTTGGGGGGGGGGGGGAGGGGTTGGGGCTATGGGGCAGCCCAAAAAAGTGGATGTGGGGCACAGCGGGTGTCTGTGGGGCACAACGGGTGTCTATGGGGCACAATGGGTGTCTATGGGGCACAGCAGGTGTCTATGGGGCACAACGGGTGTCTATGGGGCACAACGGGTGTCTATGGGGCACAACGGGTGTCTATGGGGCACAGGGTGTCTATGGGGCACAGGGGTGTCTATGGGGGTGTCTATGGGGCACACGGGTGTCTATGGGGCACACATCTATGGGGTGTCTATGGGGCACAACGGGTGTCTATGGGGCACAACGGGTGTCTATGGGGTGTCTATGGGGCACACCGGGTGTCTATGGGGCACAACGGGTGTCTATGGGGCACAACGGGTGTCTATGGGGCACAACGGGTGTCTATGGGGCACAACGGGTGTCTATGGGGCACAACGGGTGTCTATGGGGCACAACGGGTGTCTATGGGGCACAACGGGTGTCTATGGGGCACAATGGGTGTCTGTGGGGCAAAACGGGTGTCTATGGGGCACATCGGGTGTCTGTGGGGCACATCGGGTGTCTATGGGGCACAACGGGTGTCTATGGGGCACATCGGGTGTCTATGGGGCACAACGGGTGTCTATGGGGCACAGCGGGTGTCTATGGGGCACAACGGGTGTCTATGGGGCACAACGGGTGTCTATGGGGCACAGCGGGTGTCTATGGGGCACAACGGGTGTCTATGGGGCACAACGGGTGTCTATGGGGCACAACGGGTGTCTATGGGGCACAACGGGTGTCTATGGGGCACAGGGGGTGTCTGTGGGGCACAGCGGGTGTCTATGTGGGGCTATGGGGCACAACGGGTGTCTATGGGGCACAACGGGTGTCTATGGGGCACACCACGTGTCTATGGGGCACACCACGTGTCTATGGGGCACAACGGGTGTCTATGGGGCACAACAGGTGTCTATGGGGCACAACGGGTGTCTATGGGGCACAACAGGTGTCTATGGGGCACAACGGGTGTCTATGGGGCACAACAGGTGTCTATGGGGCACAGCGGGTGTCTATGGGGCACAACGGGTGTCTATGGGGCACAACAGGTGTCTATGTGGTGTCTATGGGGCACAACGGGTGTCTATGGGGCACAGCGGGTGTCTATGGGGCACAACGGGTGTCTATGTGGTGTCTATGGGGCACAGTGGGTGTCTATGGGGCACAACGGGTGTCTATGGGGCACAACGGGTGTCTATGGGGCACAACGGGTGTCTATGGGGCACAGCGGGTGTCTATGGGGCACAACGGGTGTCTATGTGGTGTCTATGGGGCACAGCAGGTGTCTATGGGGCACAACGGGTGTCTATGTGGTGTCTATGGGGCACAGCGGGTGTCTATGGGGCACAGTGGGTGTCTATGGGGCACAGTGGGTGTCTATGGGGTGTCTATGGGGTACCTATGGGGCACAGCGGGTGTCTATGGGGTGTCTATGGGGCACAGCGGGTGTCTATGGGGCACAGCGGGTGTCTATGGGGTGTCTATGGGGTGTCTATGGGGCACAGCGGGTGTCTATGGGGCACAACGGGTGTCTATGGGGCACAACGGGTGTCTATGGGGCACAACGGGTGTCTATGGGGCACACCGGGTGTCTATGGGGCACAGCGGGTGTCTATGGGGCACAACGGGTGTCTATGGGGCACAACGGGTGTCTATGGGGCACAGCGGGTGTCTATGTGGTGTCTATGGGGCACAGCGGGTGTCTATGGGGCACAACGGGTGTCTATGGGGCACAGCGGGTGTCTATGGGGCACAGTGGGTGTCTATGGGGCACAGTGGGTGTCTATGGGGTACCTATGGGGCACAGCGGGTGTCTATGGGGCACAGCGGGTGTCTATGGGGTACCTATGGGGCACAGCGGGTGTCTATGGGGCACAACGGGTGTCTATGGGGCACAACGGGTGTCTATGGGGCACAGCAGGTGTCTATGGGGCACAACGGGTGTCTATGGGGCACAGCGGGTGTCTATGGGGCACAGCGGGTGTCTATGGGGCACAACGGGTGTCTATGGGGCACAACGGGTGTCTATGGGGCACAGCGGGTGTCTATGGGGCACAGCGGGTGTCTATGGGGCACAGCGGGTGTCTATGGGGCACAACGGGTGTCTATGGGGCACAACGGGTGTCTATGGGGCACAGCAGGTGTCTATGGGGCACACCATGTGTCTATGGGGCACAACGGGTGTCTGTGGGGCACAACTGGTGTCTATGGGGCACATCGGGTGTCTATGGGGCACAACGGGTATCTATGGGGCACAACGGGTGTCTATGGGGCACAACGGGTGTCTATGGGGCACAATGGGTGTCTGTGGGGCAAAACGGGTGTCTATGGGGCACAGCAGGTGTCTATGGGGCACAGCGGGTGTCTGTGGGGCACAGCGGGTGTCTATGGGGCACAACGGGTGTCTATGGGGCACAGCAGGTGCCTATGGGGCACAGCAGGTGCCCCATAGACACGTGGTGTGCTGCCCCAACTGGTGCCTATGGGGCACACGCTGTGTCTATGGGGCACAACGGGTGTCTATGGGGACACATAGACACGTTGTGCCCCATGTGTGTACCTATGGGGCACAACGGGTGTCTATGGGGCACAGCGGGTGTCTACCCCACAGTCCACTGGGGCACAGCCCCTCCCCCCATTTTGGGCACCAATCCGCATTTTTTGCTATTTTGAGCATTTTTCCCCCCAGGTTTTGGCACAGCGGGAATTTCGGTGTGTGGTGTCCCCCCACCTGAAATGGGGCACAGCGGGTGTCTATGGGGCACAGCGGGTGTCTATGGGGCACAACGGGGGTCTATGTGGTGTCTATGGGGCACAACGGGTGTCTATGGGGCACAACAGGTGTCTATGGGGCACAGCGGGTGTCTATGGGGCACAGCGGGTGTCTATGGGGCACAACGGGTGTCTATGGGGCACAGCAGGTGTCTATGGGGCACAACGGGTGTCTATGGGGCACAGCGGGTGTCTATGGGGCACAACGGGTGTCTATGGGGCACAGCAGGTGTCTATGGGGCACAGCGGGTGTCTATGGGGCACAACGGGTGTCTATGGGGCACAACAGGTGTCTATGGGGCACAACGGGTGTCTATGGGGCACAGCGGGTGTCTATGGGGCACAACGGGTGTCTATGGGGCACAACGGGTGTCTATGGGGCACACCACGTGTCTATGGGGCACAGCAGGTGTCTATGGGGCACAGCGGGTGTCTATGGGGCACAGCAGGTGTCTATGGGGCACAGCGGGTGTCTATGGGGCACAACGGGTGTCTATGGGGCACAACCCCACAGCGGATCCCGATGGGGGGAGGGGCGGTTCTCATGGGATCATCCCAAAGCGGATCCCAATGGGGGAGGGGGAGTTTCCCATGGGACGACCCCAAAGCGGATCCCGATGGGGGGGGAGGGGCGGTTCCCATGGGATGATCCCAAGGGGGGGGGGGCAGGGGTGGTTCCCATGGGACGACCCCAAAGCGGATCCCGATGGGGGGGGAGGGGCGGTTCCCATGGGATGATCCCAAGGGGGGGGGGGGAGGGGCGGTTCCCATGGGACGACCCCAAAGCAGATCCCGATGGGGGAGGGGGAGTTTCCCATGGGACCATCCCAAAGCGGATCCCGATGGGGGGAGGGGCGGTTCCCATGGGACCATCCCAAAGCGGATCCCAAGGGGGGGGGGGAGGGGCGGTTCCCATGGGATGATCCCAAGGTGGGGGGGCAGGGGTGGTTCCCATGGGATCATCCCAAAGCGGATCCCGATGGGGGAGGGGCGGTTCCAATGGGATCATCCCAAAGCGGATCCCAATGGGGGGGAGGGGCGGTTCCCATGGGACGATCCCAAAGCGGATCCCGATGGGGGGAGGGGCGGTTCCCATGGGATGATCCCAAGGGGGGGGGCAGGGGTGGTTCCCATGGGACCATCCCAAAGCGGATCCCGATGTTGGGGGGGGGGGAGGGGGGGTGTTTCCGTTTGCCCCCCCCTCCCCCCCTCACACGGTGACCTCGGTGCGGCTCCCGGTTCTCAGGTGGTGCCCGTGGGGGAGGGGTGGGGGTGGGGGTGGGGGGAGGGGCCCCGGCAGGAGCTGGAGCTCGGCCGTGCTCTGCCGCTGCAGGCGGCGGGGGGGGTGCGCGGGGGGAGGGGGCGGGGGGGCCGGGCCAGGGGGCGGAGCCGGCGGCGAAGGGGAGGAGCCTCCGGGCCTGGCCCCGCCCCCCGCCAGGCTGCTGTGGGAGGCGGTGTGGGGGAGGGGCCGCGGGGAGGGGGCGGGGTCGCGCCGCCCCCCCCCCCGCGCGCGGGGCATGGTCCCGCCCCATCCCCCCCCCGCCAGCAGCAGCTCCTGCGAGAGCACGCGGCGGGGGGCGGGGCCTCCGCGGGGGGTGGGCGGAGCCAGCGGCAGGGCGGAGCGAGGGGGCGGAGCCCAGGCCGGGACCCAATAGGCGCGCCAGGGCTCATCCGGGTCCCGGTCGGCTGCGGGGAGAAAGGGGGGGGGGGGGAGAGGTCATGTGAGGGCACAGGGGTGAGCGAGGACACGTGAGCGCATGGGACACGTATGTACATAAGGACATGTGTGTGATTGACACGTGTGTGCATGGGACATGTATGTACATAAGGACATGTGTGTGATTGACACGTGTGTGCATGGGACATGTATGTACATAAGGACATGTGTGTGATTGACACGTGTGTGCATGGGACATGTATGTACATAAGGACATGTGTGTGATTGACACGTGTGTGCATGGGACATGTGTGTGCATGGGACATGTGTGTGATTGACACGTGTGTGCATGGAACATGTATGTACATGAGGACATGTGTGTGATTGACACGTGAGTGCATGGGACACGTATGTACATGAGGACATGTGTGTGATTGACACGTGTGTGCATGGGACATGTATGTACAAAAGGACCTGTGTGTGATTGACACGTGTGTGCATGGGACATGTGTGTACATGAGGACATGTATGTGATTGACACGTGAGTGCATGGGACATGTATGTACATGACGACATGTGTGTGATTGATGTGTGTGCATGGGACATGTGTGTACATAAGGACATGTGTGTGATTGACGTGTGTGTGCATGGGGACATGTGTGTGATAGACACGTGTGTGCATGGGACATGTATGTACATAAGGACATGCATGTGATTGACATGTGTGTACATAAGGACACGTTTGTGATAGACCGGTGTGTGCATGGGACATGTGTGTACATGAGGACATGTATGTGATTGACACGTGAGTGCATGGGACATGTATGTACATAAGGACACGTGTGTGATAGACACGTGTGTGCATGGGACATGTATGTGATTGACGTGTGTGCACGGGACATGTGTGTGATAGACACGTGTGTGCATGGGGACATGTATGTGCATAAGGACGTGTGTGATTGACGTGTGTGCATGGGGACACGTGTGTGAAAGATACGTGTGTGCATGGGACATGTGTGTACATGAGGACATGTATGTGATTCACACGTGAGTGCATGGGACATGTATGTACATAAGGACACGTGTGTGATAGACACGTGTGTGCATGGGACATGTATGTGATTGACATGTGTGTGCATGGGGCCATGTGTGTGATAGATACGTGTGTGCATGGGACATGTATGTACATAAGGACATGTATGTGATTGACGTGTGTGCATGGGAGATGTATGTACATAAGGACATGTGTGTGATTGATATGTGTGTACATAAGGACATGTGTGTGATTGACACGTGTGTGCATGGGACACGTATGTACATAAGGACATGTATGTGATTGACACGTTTGTGCATGGGACATGTGTGTACATAAGGACACGTGTGTGATTGACACGTGTGTGCATGGGACACGTATGTACATAAGGACATGTATGTGTTTGACGTGTGTACATGGGGACATGTGTGTGATTGACACGTGTGTGCCTGACATGTATGTACATAAGGACATGTGTGCGATTGACATGTGTGCATGGGACATGTGAGTGACAGACACGTGTGTGCATGGGGACATGTATGTACATAAGGACGTGTGTGATTGACATGTCTGCATGGGACATGTGTGTGATAGACATGTGTGTGCATGGGACATGTATGTACATAAGGACATGTGTGTGATTGACGTGTCTGCATGGGACATGTGTGTGATAGACATGTGTGTGCATGGGGACATGTATGTACATAAGGACATGTGTGTGATTGACGTGTGTGCATGGGGACATGTCTTTGATAGACATGTGTGTGCATGGGACATGTATATACATGAGGACATGTGTGTGATTGACACGTGTGCATGGGGACATGTCTTTGATAGACATGTGTGTGCATGAGACATGTATGTACATAAGGACATGTGTGTGATTGATGTGTGTGCATGGGACATGTATGTACATAAGGACATGTATGTGATTGACGTGAGTGCATAGGGACATGTGTGTGATTGACATGTGTGTGCATGGGACATGTATGTACATGAGGACATGTATGTTATTGATGTGTGTGCATGGGACGTGTGTGAATGGCACATGTGTGTGATTGACGTGTGTGCATGGGGACATGTGTGTGAATGGCACATGTATGTGATTGACACATTTATGTGATTGACACGTGTGTGCATGGGACATGTGTGTGAATGGGACATGTATGTACATAAGGACATGTGTGTGATTGACATGTGTGCATGGGGACATGTGTGTACATAAGGACATGTGTGTGATAGACATGTGTGTGCATGAGACATGTGTGTGAATGGAACTTATGTGTGAATGGCACATGTGTGCATGGGACATGTGTGTGAACGGCACATGTATGTGATTTACACATGTGCATGGGACATGTGTGTGATTGACGTGTGTGCATGGGGACATGTATGTACAGAAGGACATGTATGTGATTGACGTGTGTGCATGGGACATGTGTGTGAATGGAACATATGTGTGATAGACATGTGTGTGCATGGGGACATGCGTGTACATAGGGACATGTATGTCATTGACGTGTGTGCATGGGGACATGTGTGTGAATGGCACATGTGATTGACACATGTATGTGGTTGACACGTGTGTGCATGGGACATGTGTGTGAACGGCACATGTATGTGATTGACACGTGTGTGTGCATGGGGACATGTGTGTACATAGGGACATGTATGTGCATGGAACATGTGTGTGCATAGGGACGTGTATGTGCACAGAAGATGTATGCGCATAGGACATGTATGTACATAAGGACATGTATGTGCATGAGACTTGTATGTGCATTAGGAATGTATGTACATAAGGACATGTATGTCCATAGGGACACGTATGTGCCATAGGAACACGTATGTGCCATAGGAACATGTATGTGCCCACAGAACACATATGTGCCATAGGAACACGTATGTGCCCCAGGAACACATATGTGCCCACAGGAACACGTATGTGCCATAGGAACCCTCATGTGCCCACAGGAACACGTATGTACCCACAGGAACACGTATGTGCCATAGGAACACGTATGTGCCCACAGGAACACGTATGTGCCGTAGGAACACGTATGTGCCACAGGACATGTATGTGCCATAGGAACACGTGTGTGCCCACAGGAACACGTATGTGCCATAGGAACACGTATGTGCCACAGGACATGTATGTGCCATAGGAACACGTGTGTGCCCACAGGAACACGTATGTGCCATAGGAACACATATCTGCCCACAGAATACGTATGTGCCATAGGAACACTCATGTGCCCACAGGAACACGTATGTGCCCACAGAACACGTATGTGCCACAGGAATACGTATGTGCCACAGGAACACGTATGTGCCCACAGGAACACTTATGTGCCATCGAAACATGTATGTGCCCACAGGAACACGTGTGAGCCACAGGAACACGTATGTGCCATAGGAACACGTGTGTGCCCACAGGAACACATATGTGCCACAGGACACGTGTGTGCCCACAGGAACACGTATGTGCCATAGGAACACTCATGTGCCCACAGGAACACGTATGTGCCACAGGAACACGTATGTGCCCACAGGAACACGTATGTGCCCACAGAACACGTATGTGCCACAGGAATACGTATGTGCCACAGGAACACGTATGTGCCCACAGGAACACTTATGTGCCATCGAAACATGTATGTGCCCACAGGAACACGTGTGTGCCACAGGAACACGTATGTGCCACAGGAACACGTGTGTGCCACAGGAACACGTATGTGCCACAGGAACACGTATGTGCCACAGGACACCTGTGTGCCACAGGAACACGTGTGTGCCACAGGAACACATATGTGCCACAGGAACACGTATGTGCCACAGGAACACATATGTGCCACAGGACACGTATGTGCCACAGGACACGTATGTGCCACAGGAACACGTATGTGCCACAGGACACGTATGTGCCCACAGGAACACGTATGTGCCACAGGACACGTATGTGCCACAGGAACACGTGTGTGCCATAGGAACACGTGTGTGCCACAGGACACGTGTGTGCCACAGGAACACGTATGTGCCACAGGAACACGTATGTGCCCATCGGAACACGTGTGTGCCACAGGACACGTGTGTGCCACAGGACACGTGTGTGCCACAGGACACGTGTGTGCCATAGGAACACGTATGTGCCACAGGACACGTATGTGCCCATAGGAACACGTATGTGCCACAGGAACACGTGTGTGCCACAGGACACGTGTGTGCCACAGGACACGTATGTGCCCATAGGAACACGTATGTGCCACAGGAACACGTATGTGCCACAGGAACACGTATGTGCCCATAGGAACACGTATGTGCCCATAGGAACACGTATGTGCCACAGGAACACGTATGTGCCACAGGAACACGTATGTGCCACAGGAACACGTATGTTCCCACAGGAACACGTATGTGCCACAGGAACACGTGTGTGCCACAGGACACGTGTGTGCCCACAGGAACACGTATGTGCCACAGGAACACGTATGTGCCACAGGACACGTATGTGCCATAGGAACACGTGTGTGCCACAGGAACACGTATGTGCCACAGGAACACGTATGTGCCACAGGAACACGTATGTGCCACAGGAACACGTATGTGCCACAGGACATGTATGTGCCCCAGGAACACGTATGTGCCACAGGAACACGTGTGTGCCACAGAACACGTGTGATCACGCGTGACCACGCGGGGCTCACCCAGGCGCCGCAGGGACGTGCAGCGCCCCAGCTCCGGGGGGGGGGGCCCCTCGTAGGGGGGGGGCGGGTGCGAGAGGTTGTGGAAGGAGCGGGAGCAGCTCAGGGTGCCCGCGCGGGGCCCCCGCCAGTCTGGGGGGGGGGGAGAGAGAGGGGAGGGGGGGTCAGGTCCTGGGGTAACCCCAGAGAGACCCAGAGAGACCCAGAGAGACCCATAGGGACCCATAGAGACCATAGAGACCCATTGAGACCCATAGAGACCATAGAAACCCATAGAGCCCCTAGAGACCCATAGAGACCCATAAAGACCATTGAGACCCATAGAGACCATAGAAACCCATAGATACCCATAGAGCCCCTAGAGACCCATAGAGACCCATAGAGACCCATAAAGACCATAGAGACCCATAGAGACCATAGAAACCCATAGAGACCCATAGAGCCCATAGAGACCCATAGAGACCCTGGAGACCCATAGAGAGCCTATAGAGCCCATAGAGACCCATAGAGACCATGGAGAGCCTATAGAGCCCGTAGAGACCCATAGAAACCATAGAGACCCATACAGACCATAGAGACCCACAGAGACTCACAGAGACCACAGAGCCCCGTTTACCCCATAGAGACCATAGAGCCCCATAGACCCCATAGAGCCCCACTGACCCCTATAGACCCCACACAGAACCCCCGTGCACCCCTCATAGAACCCCCATAGAGCCCCATAAACCCCATCTAGAGCAACCACATAGCCCCCCATTCATCCCCAAAGTCCCCCATGCCCCCCCCATAGCTCCCCTATAACCGCCCTATACCCTCTATAGCCCCCCCCTAGCCCCCTATAGCCCCCCCATAGCTCACCCAGCGTGGCCGCCCGGTGCTCGGGGGTCCCCATGCCCAGGTGGACGTAGCTGTTGGGGCCCGTGTCTGTTAATGGGGAGGGGGCCTCATTAGCACCCCCAATTGGTGTGTTCCTCCCCCCCCCAGCCCTGCCCCATGGGACCCCCCCATTGACCCCAATGGGATCCCCCCCCCATGGACCACAATGGGATCCCACCCTATGGACCCCAATGGGACACCCCCATTGACCCCAATGGGACATCCCTATTGATCCTAATGGGACCCCCCCTACTGACCCCAGTGGGACTCCCAAATTGATCCCATTGGGACCCCCAGCTTCATCCCAATGGGATGCCCCCCATTGACCCAAATAGGACCCCCCCGATTGACCCCAATGGGACCCCCTATTGAGCCCAATGGGACCCCCCTATTGACCCCAATGGGATCCCCGCCATTGATCCCAATGGCACAACCTCTATTTACCCAAATGGGGAACCCCCAATTGACCCCAATGGGATGCCCTAGTATTTACCCCAATAGGACCCCCCCATTGACCCCAATAGGACCCTCTATTGATCCCAACAGGACCCCCTCCTATTGATCCCAATAGGACCCCCCCATTGATGGCAATGGGACCCCCATTGACCCCAATGGGACACCCCTTACTGACCCCAATGCTATACCCCATATTAATCCCAATGAGACCTTCCTATTGACCCTAATGGACCCCCCTATTTACCCACATAGGACCCCCCTATTGACCCCAATGGGAGCCTCTATTGATCCCAATGGGACCCCCTCCTATTGATCCCAATAGGACCCCCCCATTGATGCCAATGGGACCCCCATTGACCCCAACGGGACACCCCTTACTGACCCCAATGCGACACCCCATATTTATCCCAATGAGACCTCCCCATTGACCCTAATGGACCCCCCTATTTACCCACATAGGACCCCCCTATTGACCCCAATGGGACCCTCTATTGATCCCAACGGGCCCCCTTCCTATTGATCCCAATAGGACCCCCCCATTGATGCCAATGGGACCCCCATTGACCCCAACGGGACACCCCTTACTGACCCCAATGCTACACCCCATATTTATCCCAATGAGACCTCCCCATTGATCCCATAGGACCCCCATATTGACCCCACTGGGACCCCCCCATGGATCCCAATGGCACCTTACCTCATTGACCCCACTGGGACCCACCCAATTGACCCCAATGGGACCCCCCCCATGGATCCCAAGAGGACCCTCCCCCACTGACCCCAATGGGACCCCCCCCATTGACCCCCCCCAAACCCCCATTTACCCCCTATGGCCCCCCCCCAGGTGCCCTTGCAGGCCTTGACGGTGCTGTAGAGGGTTTTGGGGGGCCGGGCGGGACCATTGTCGGGGGGCGGGGGGGGCAGGACCCCACTGCTGCGCCGCTCGGGCCGGCCCCCCCCCGCCTGGTGCCGAAGGACGTCCATGAGGGCCCTGGGGACAGAGGGGGGATGGGGGGGGGACAACAATTGGAAGGGGGGGGAAGAACAGTGAGGGGCTGGACCCAAACGTTGTGACCCCCCCATGGACCCAAATCATCATCCACTCCCATCCCCATCCCCATCCCATCTCCCCGCATCTCCACCCCATCCCCCCATCTCATCCCATCACCCCCATTTCCCCCCATCCCATCCCCATCATCATCCCATCAGATCCCATCCCCCCATCCCATCCCCATCCCTCCCTCATTCCCATGTCTCTCCATCCCCATCCCAATCCCCATCCCAATCCTCATCCCATCCCCATCCCCCTCCCCCCATCCCATGCCCCCCATCCCATCCCCATACTCATCCCTATACCCATCCCCCCATCCAATCCCCACCCCATCCCATCCCCATTCCCATGTCTCCCCATCCCCCCCCATCCCATCCCCCCCCATCCCATCCCCATCCCTATACCCATGCCCCCATCCAATCCCATCCCCCCCCATCCCCATCCCCCCATCCCCATCCCATCCCCCCCCATCCCATCCCCATCCTCATCCCTATACCCATCCCCCCACCCCCATCCCCCCCATCCTATCTCCATCCCCATCCCCCCACCCCCATCCCATCCCATCCCATCCCATCCCATCCATTCCCATCATCCCATCTCCATCCCCATCCCTCCACCCCCATCCCCCCCATCCTATCTCCATCCCCATCCCCCCATTCCCCCCCATCCCATCCCCCCATCCCATCCCCATCCCCTCCCCCCCATCCCCATCCCTATACCCATCCCCCCATCCCCATCCCCCCCATCCCATCCCCATCCTCATCCCCATATCCCCATCCCCCCACCCCCATCCCACCCCCATCCTCATCCTTATACCCATCCCCCATCCCCCCCATCCCCCCCTTACCTTCCCCCATCATCCTGCCCGGGCTCCCCCCTCCCCCCCCTCCCCAGCACTGCCCTGGCCGCCACCGCCACAGCCAGCACGAGGCTCACCACCCCACACACCACATAGGGGGTGCCGCTCCCCTCCCCCCCCCTCCCTTCCCCTCCCCCTTCCACCCAAGAGGGGGAGGGGCTGGGGGCTCCACCACCACCACCAATGGGATGCGGGGGGGGCGGTGGCGCTGCCGGCGGCTGCGGGGGGGGGCGGGCCCAGCCGGGGCTGTTCCGGTTCGTGCAGCGCCGCTGTTCCAGGCGCCGCCCCCGGTGCTCGCAGCAGAAGCGGTAGTGGCACGTGCCGCAGCAGAACCGGAAGCTGCCCGTCGAGCAGTTGAAGGCGGCGTCGTACTGACCCATGACGTCATAATAGCCCTGGCACAGCTCGGCGGGGGGAGGGGTGGGGGGTGGGGGGGGTGGGGGAGGGGTGGGGGGGAGGGGGAAGGGGAAGGGGAAGGAGGAGGGGAGGGGGATGGGAGGGAGGGGTGGGAGGGGGAGGGGAGGAGGAGGAGGAGGAGGAGGGGGAGGAGGAGGGGGGGGAGCATGGGGGGGGGAGGGGGGGTCCTGAGTGGGGGGGTTAAGGGGGGGGAGGGGGTCGGTAATTAGGGGGGTTAATGGGGGGATGGGAGGGCTCCTAATTGAGGGGGTTAATGGGGGGGAGGGGGTCGATAATTGGGGGGGGTAATGGGGGGGGAGGGGGTTGCTAATTGGGGGGGTCAATGGGGGGGAGGGGGTCGATAATTAGGGGGGGGAAAGGGGGGATGGGAGGGCTCCTAATTGGGGGGGTTAATGGGGGGGAGGGGGTCGCTAATTGGGGGGGTTAATGGGGGGGAGGGGGTTGCTAATTGGGGGGGGTAATGGGGGGGAGGGGGTCGCTAATTAGGGGGCGTAATGGGGGGGAGAGGTTCGCTAATTAGGGGGGGTAATGGAGGGGGAGGGGGTCGGTAATTGGGGGGCTTAATGGGGGAGAGGGGGTCCCTAATTAGGGGGGTTAATGGGGGGAGGGGGTCGCTAATTGGGGGGGTTAATGGGGGAGGGGGTTGCTAATTGGGGGGGGTAATGGGGGAGGGGGTCGCTAATTAGGGGGCGTAATGGGGGGGAGAGGTTCGCTAATTGGGGGGGTAATGGGGGGGGAGGGGGTCGGTAATTGGGGGGCTTAATGGGGGAGAGGGGGTCCCTAATTAGGGGGGTTAATGGGGGAGGGGGGGTCACTAATTGGGGGAGAGGGGGTCGCTAATTGGGGGGGTTAATGGGGGGGAGGGGGTCTGTAATTAGTGAGGAGAGGGTCCCTAATTAGGGGGGTTAATGGGGGGGAGGGGGTTGCTAATTGGGAGGATGAGGTCGCTAATTGGGGGGTTTAATGAGGGGGAGGGTGTCGGTAATTAGGGGGGAGGGTGTCCCTAATTAGGGGGGTTAATGGGGGGGAGGGGGTTGCTAATTGCAGGGTTAATTGGGGGGAGGGGGTCGCTAATTGGGGGGTTAATGGGAGGCAATATGAGGGTTCCTAATTGGGGGGGGTTAATTGGGAGGAAGGGGGGGTCCCTAATTAGGGGGGGTTAATGGGGGAGGAGGGGTCCCTAATTAAGGGGGCTCACTAATTGGAAGGGGTTAATTAGGGGGAAGGGGGGGGTCCCTAATTAGGGGGGTTAATTGGGGGGGTCCTAATTGGGGGGGGTTAGTGGGGGGGGAGGGGGTCGTTAATTGAGGGGATGGGGGGGCCCTTATTGGGCTTAATGGGGGAGGGGGTCGCTAATTGGGGGGATGGGGGGGTCTCTTATTGGGGGGGCTGATGGGGGGAGGGGGTCGCTAATTAGGGTCCCTAATGGGGGGGGGTTAAATAGGGGGTAGGGGGTGGAGTGGGTTCCTAATTAGGGGGGTTAATGGGGGGCAAAGGGGTTGCTAATTGGGGGGGGTTAATTAGGGGGGAATGGGGGGTCCCTAATTAGGGGGGGTCCCTAATTGGAGGGCGTGAAATAGGGGGCAATGGAGGAGGCCCCTAATTAGGGGGTGGTTAATGAGGGGGGTGTCCCTAATTGGGGGGGGGGTAATCTGGGGGGGGGGGAAGGAGATCCCTAATTAGGGGGGGTAAATAGGGAGTGGGGGATGGAGGGGTCCCTAATTGGGGGAGGGGCACTAATTGGGGGTTAACTGGGGGGGGGGTGGAGGGGGCTCCTTAATAAAGGGGGGATATGAGGGGGGGTCTTAATTGGGGGGGTTAATTAGGGGAGGGGTGATCAAAGTGGATGGCCCTAATTGGAGGTAATGGAAGGGGGCCTTTAATAAGGGGGGGGGGTATGAAGGGGGTGCCTAATTAGGGGGGGGATAGGGGGGAGGGGTGATGGAGCGAGGGGGGGTCTCCAGTTTAGGGGGAGGGGTGATGGAGGAGGGGTCCCTAATTAAGGGGGGGGTTAATTAAGGGAGGGGGGATGGAGTGGGGGGGTCCCTAATTAAGGGGGGGGTTAATGAAGGTTGGGGGAGTCCCCAATTAAGGGGTTCCCCAATGGGGGGGGGTCATCGGCGTCACCCCCGGCGGTTCCTGTTTGGGGAGGGGGGAGGGGTTTGCAGTCATCCCCTTTTTCCCATGAGCCTTTGCCCCGTTGCCGAGGCAGCATCCGCCGTCCCCATGGCAACGGGGCCCTGGCAACCGCGGTCCTTTCCCTTCCCCCCCCCTCCCCCGCGCGCGGCCTCCCCCCCCCCCCCCCAGTGGAGCCCCAACACGCGTGTGCTCGGACACGCTCCAACACGCGTGTGCGCACAGCAGGGTCTCCGTTGTCACCCATTGCTCCCCATTGTCACCCATTGTCACCATTGTCACCCATTGCTCCCCATTGTCGCCCATTGTCACCCACTGTCACCCATTGCTCCCCATTGTCACCCATTGCTCCCCATTGTCACCATTGTCACCCATTGCTCACCGTTGTCACCACTGTCACCATTGTCACCCACTGTCACCCATTGTCACCCATTGCCCCCCACTGTTGCCCATTGCTCCCCATTGTCACCATTGTCACCCATTGTCACCATTGTCACCCACTGTCACCCATTGTCACCCATTGCCCCCCATTGTCGCCCATTGCTCCCCATTGTCACCATTGTCACCCATTGCTCACCACTGCTGTAACACTCCCAGTGTCACCAGTGTCACCATCACTGCCACCATCATCACCCATTGCTCACCCTTGTCACCATCATCACCACTGTCACCCGTTGCTCACCATCACTTGTCACACTTAGTGTCACCATTATCACCAGTGCTCACCCTGGTCACCATTGTCACCATTGTCACCCAGTGCTCACCATTGCTGTCACACTCCCATTGTTGCCATTGTCACCCTGGTCACCATTGTCACCCATTGCTCACCATTGTCACCCATTGCTCACCATTGTCACCATTGTCACCCATTGCTCACCATTGCTGTCACACTCCCATTGTCACCCTGGTCACCATTGTCACCCATTGCTCACCATTGTCACCCATTGCTCACCATTGCTGTCACAGCGTCACCATTGTCACCCCGGTCACCATTGTCACCCATTGCTCACCATCACTTGTCACCCTGGTCCCCATTGTCACCCATTGCTCACCATTGCTGTCACACTCAGTGTCACCATTGTCACCCATTGCTCACCATCACTTGTCACACTCAGTGTCACCATTGTCACCCATTACTCACTATCACTTGTCACCCTGGTCACCACTGTCACCCAGTGCTCACCACTGTCACCCATTGATCACCAGTGTCACCATTGTCACCCAGTGCTCACCATCACTTGTCACACTCAGTGTCACCATTGTCACCCATTGCTCACCATCACTTGTCACACTCAGTGTCACCATTGTCACCCATTGCTCACCATCACTTGTCACCCTCAGTGTCACCATTGTCACCCAGTGCTCACTATCACTTGTCACACTCAGTGTCACCATTGTCACCCATTGCTCACCACTGTCACCCATTGATCACCATCACTTGTCACCCTGGTCACCATTGTCACCCAGTGCTCACTATCACTTGTCACACTCAGTGTCACCATTGTCACCCATTGCTCACCATTGCTGTCACACTCAGTGTCACCATTGTCACCCAGTGCTCACCATTGCTGTCACACTCAGTGTCACCATTGTCACCCTGGTCACCATTGTCACCCAGTGCTCACTATCACTTGTCACACTCAGTGTCACCATTGTCACCCAGTGCTCACCACTGTAACCCATTGATCACCAGTGTGACCATTGTCACCCATTGCTCACCATCACTTGTCACACTCATTGTCACCATTGTCACCCATTGCTCACCATCACTTGTCACACTCAGTGTCACCATTGTCACCCAGTGCTCACCACTGTCACCCATTGATCACCACTGTCACAGTGGTCACCCACTGCTCCCCATCAATGCCACACTTCTATTGTCACCATTGTCACCGTTGTCACCCATTGCTCCCCAGTGTCACCATTGTCACCCATTGCTCCCCATTGTCACCCATTGCTCACCGTTGTCACCCATTGTCACCACTGTCACTGTTGTCACCCGTTGCTCCCCGTTGTCACCATCATCACCCATTGCTCCCCACTGTCACCTGTGTCACCCTTGCTCCCCATTGCTCCCCACTGTCACCCATTGCTCCCCACTGTCAGCAGTGTCACCATTGTCACCCATTCCTCCCCATCGTCACCCATTGCTCCCCATTGTCACCAATGTCACCCATTGCTCCCCATCATCACCCATTGTTCCCCATTGTCACCATCGTCACCCATTGCTCCACCTTGCTCCCCGTTGTTACCCATTGCTCCCCACTGTCAGCAGTGTCACCATTGTCACCCATTCCTCCCCATCGTCACCCATTGCTCCCCATTGTCACCAATGTCACCCATTGCTCCCCATTGTCACCAGTGTCACCCATTGCTCCCCATCATCACCCCTTGCTCCCCATTGCTCCCCACTGTCACCCATTGTTCCCTCCCCCCCCGTCTCACTCCCGCTGTCACTGTCACCCCCTCCCGTTCCCATGACAACCGCTCCCCCCCCATCACTCACCGGAGCCGATCCAAGCGGATGAAGCAACCCCCGACCCCCCCCCCCCCCAACCTGGGGGGGTCCCGGTACCGGGGGGGGAGGGGGAGGGGCCGGGGGGGGGTCCCCGGGGCGCGGGGAGGGGGGGGGGGGGGAGGGGGACACGGAGCGGAGGGGGAGGGGACACACGGGGTGGGGGTGGGGGGTTAAAGGGGGGTGCCGGTGATGGGGGAGGGGGCCCCGGGGGGGTTTTGGGGTCCCGGGGGGGTCCCGGTGCCGTGGCGGCTCCAGCGGCAGCTCCCGCGGGGGGGGGGAAGGGGGGGGGGGTTGAATTAGGGGGGTGGGAATGGGGGGGGAGGACGCGGATTGGCTGAGAGCAGCCAATGGGGGCCAAGG